AAACACATTACACTATGAGGAAGAATGAAGGAAAGTTTTGATTTAGCATACTCAATAGGAAATCTCCTTTGGATTAGCCAACTTAAAACTTAGTTACTCATATTTAATGCAAAGACATACACAATGGAAAGAGACATGGTAATGAAATGAAGATTAAAACTTGTGTTAATGCAAAGAAAAGTTAAACTACGAAAATAAGTTCATTTCATTGGGAATGCAAACATGGTAGATTCAAGAATATGTAACTAAACTTAAAATACACTTGAAATAAATGACATTAAAGTGCAATAAATGAATATTACAAGAGTATTACAGCTTATTACAAGTAAAATGGGTAAGAAAATGCAAAAATCTAAACTTTCTCTCTCTAAACTATGTCTTCTTCCTTGAACTTCTCTCTCTAAAATGTTGAATAATGGTGTGTCCCACTGCATTTTCATCTATGAGGCTCGTATCGCCTATGTATGCAGGCTTCACATCAATGGGAAGTGATTTGATTCATTGGATAGGCTAGGACAAGCGTAGCTTGCACCCAACATGCCTCCCTCCTTTTCTTTCTTCCTTTCCCTTCCTAAATCCTCTAAAGTCAGATTTTAGGGTCTTGTAGGTATGGTTGTATGTAGACTATGTCAGGAGATGTGTGGGCGAAGCTTTGGTAGGCCCCCCAAGCAAGTGGAGCTTGAGTTGCAGAATCTGGCGGTTTTCAGCAAAACCTACCAGTAGATTTTGTTCCAGTGAGCATAACCTTCCAGAAGGTTTGCGGTAGATCCAACTCTAGTGTGCAAAGCCTACCGGTAGTTTTATGAGCAACCTACCTGTAGGTTTTTACTTGATTTGCTCCTTTCTTGATCTTTTCACCTTCCAAGCCACCAGTTAAGCCTCCCCTTCATCTCCATTGACTTTGAGCACTATAATGGGCGCTTAACTCAAACCATTTCCAACTCTTTACCTGCAATCACACAAAAAATCATTAATTTCATGATTAGTTCCATTTTCACCACAAATGCAAGTATAAAAAAGGGTATAAATGTATACATGATGCGCAATAATTTGTGCTAATCACACCCCCCAACCTAAATTTTGCTAGTCCCTAGCAAACTTTATTTTCCAACCACAGAGTGTAAAACTACAACAATCCATTTACGCACATTCATCGCCAAACAATCAAAATAGAAATAAACTTGCGCAAGATAAAACAAAACAACTATGGTACTTTTCATTAATTACTTCCAAAAGTTCAGTACAAAGATTTAGAATTCAAAAACAAAATGGCCCAAAATCCTAGAGACACTTCTACCAGGTCGACAATTATAATCCTAACTATGGAACAACTAAAACTAAAACAAACAAAACACAATGAGACCCTACTCGTTGTCCTCATCCATCTCCTTCTCATCAGTATCCTCCTCCTCCGTCACCAGGATCATCGTCATTGTCGGAACCCTCCACCTCGATAACTGTAGAAGTCATCTAGGCGGAGGTAAAGGGCTCAGCAGATGAAGGCGAAGGTACACCAGGAAGTGGCTCGCCTGGGAAGGTGTGCTAAAAGATCCTAGTCATCATCAAGATGCTTTACTTATTCCGTCGACCCTAATCTCCAACCATGATTCCGATAATGTGTATATAGCTTATACAATTAGGTGAGTGTCACTCTCCCTAGGATATCATACAAGAAATGGGGTGAACGTGTGTGTGGATGAAAATGTGTGTGTGCATTCACAAAAGTAGTCCCCAAGCATAGAGAGACTTTCGAGTGTCGTGTTTTACTTGGAATGGGTATTCCAAGTTTGTCTCCTTAGGGAAGGAAGGTGAATTGTGTGAAGGTGATTTGGCAAAAATGGAAAGTGTAAAAATCTTGTGAATTGGTGTTTTGGTGAGTTAAGATTGGTTGTAAAAAATGCAATAAAAACAAGGTTGGCTAATCTAAAGAGGTCATTCCAATGGGAATGCCAAATCAAGTCAATTCATTTAACCAATGGTGCATAGGTGCTTGATTGATTCGTAGGAAGTGAGGGACTAATGTAGAACATAGGCCCAAACATACCCCGTGACAAATCTATGGTGTATCAAGAGCTCACAATCACGTCCATACTCATCCTAGTCAAACCAAGCACTTTACACTACGAGGTAGAATGGAGAAGAGTTGATTTAGCATACCCAAGAGGAAGTTCCCCTTGGATTAGCCAATATAAAGCTTAGCTACTCATGGTTGAAGTAAAAACATTCATAATGTAAAGAGACATGTAGATGAAATAGAAACAAAAATGAGATGAGAATGCAACTTAGAACTTGTATTAATGCTAAAAAGGGGTAAACTACAAAGAGAAATTCATTTCATACCAAAATGGAAAAGTTGCAAAGTATACCTAACAGAAAATGTGAAAGTGCAATAACAATAGATTAAACTTGATTGCACTTGAAATAAAGAAGATTACAATGCAAGAAACAAAGATTAAAAGAGTCTTACAGTTTGCTACAAGTGAAATGGGTTAATAAATTGCAAAAAATCTAAGCTTTCTCCCTCTAAAAATATATCTTCAACCTTGGGAGTTTCTCTCTCTAAAAGTGTTAAACTATGATGTCTAATGTGTGTAGTCTCCAGTGTAATTTTCAACCATGGAGCATATGGTCTGTGTGCTTCAGAGATTCAATGATTTGGGGAGGTTTGGAAGCCTGCACAAGCAAGGTGCAGGCATGCCTGCACTCCCTGCCCCTTTGTCAGCCTCTCTCCTTTTCTTCCATGCTTTTTCTTCCAAGTCAGACCTTTGTGTAAGAAATGGTATGGTTGTATGTGGAACATGTCAGGGTAGGTGTGGGAGAAGTGTAGGTGGGCCCCCCAAGCAGTTGGAGTTGAGTTGCAAAAATCAGGCATTTTTTCAGTAAAACCTACCAGTAGTTCGATGCCTACCAGTAGATTTTACTCTAATAGCCAAAACCTTCCAGAAGATTTTTAGTATATCCAACTCCAGTACACAAAACCTACCGGTAGTTTTATAAGCAAACCTGTGAGGGGAGGTCACTGTGGTACTTGGGTACTGCTCTCATATGGTGCTTTGGCTTATATGGGAGTGGGGAGACGACTCTTTCCCCGATGTGGGATAGAGGTAAAGGCTACTGTGGGGGTTTGACCCACAGGTTAGCCGAAATCCTTTGGTGGAGGGTGGGATATCCCCGGTAATGGGGAGGAAATGCTCTTGGAGGGAGGTATATCCCCGATAATGGGGAGGTAGATCCCTCACAAAACCTACTGGTAGTGTTTTACTTGTTGTAGCTCAAATCTTGCTATTTTCACCTACCAAGGCATAATCAAACCTCCCCTTCATCTCCATTGACTTTGAGCACTGTGATGGGGGCTTAACTCACATCATTTCCAACTCTTTGCCTGCAAACACACCGAAACCTCATTAATTGATAGAAATATTGCAATTCCTCCATTTTCACCAAAAAATTAAGTATAAAAAAGGGTGCAATGTATACATGATATGCAATATTTTGTGTTAATCACAAGGTCAACCCCTGGATCGACCCTTCCAAAGCATCTAAGCTCTAGGACACAGTACGGATCGGGGTAGAGGTGGAAAGCCCAGAAGTAGATGGCCTAGCAGATGATGGATCAGGTCTCTAGCCTCTAGCTCTCTCACCCCTACTCATTGTTTTTCATTTATTACTACTTGTTTTCCTAATAGCTCCAAATTCAGAGGGTGTTAGTACATCAGAGACATAGCTTTAACTTTACTGGAGTAGCACTTTCTGGTAACTAGATTGGTGAATGGGAGATTTGCCTTCGACTTTCTATCCTGAGCAAACTCCTTCATAAACTCCCATATCAATAAGGCTACTTCCATAGCCTTCCCAGTCATAAATGTGTGAAGGTGGGTGAGCTTCTCCACCTTCGGGTTCTTCTTTGCACCCTAGGGGATCAAATTGTAATGTTAGAGCTTATTTATAATCTGGTATGAGTGTTTGAGGCCCTCGACTTGAATTATACCTTTGAATTGGGTCAGATACTCATAGCGCAACTCCACATACTCAGGGACTGTATTTACCCCTTGGATTTGTGTGGTTACACCGAGGTAGTGGTTCATCAATCTAGCAATCAAATTTGGGGTCTCAACAAAAACATTACCCCTCACATTTGTCCAGAGAATAAAACCGTCCTCATCCACCACATGCAATCTCTTATAAAATTCTCTACACATGGCCAGGTTATACCAGCTAATCGGCTCAAACCAAATCCCAAGGTCATCTCCCTCTATCACTCTCACCACCTTGTGAGTTGGCCCGAAGGTTATCACGTCCACAAAATGCTCACACGTGACATTTTTCTCATCAATTCTTTGGTTATGAGAATCATTTCTTGCCTTCTTTCTCCTCTCTCCCCTATCTCCGCTAGAGCCCTCAACTGCCCTCTTGCTGGAACTAGTGCCCGCATGTATTGTAGGACCTGGCCCAGTGCGTTTCGTGCAGGCTATGAGTAGCAACAATGCCCCAACCGCCACAAAAGACAACAAACACATCAAGAGCCTCTCAATAGGATCAAAAGCATCAAGAGAGATCTTCCCTAAGTGAGCCATTGCGATGGAATCAAAACTTTCATAGAGAAAATGAGAGAAATGGAATTTGGGAAAAAAAAAAGCTAGGATTTAGTGAGAAAATCCGCAAATTTCGGTCTAATTCCAAGTAATAATCAACCCTAGGTAATAGAAATGGAAGATTTGATATTTGGGTGAGTGTTCTTTGAAGCCTTGAGAAGATTTGAGGGAGAGAGAGAAGTGTCTGGGAGTTTGAAGATTTTTGAAGGAAATGAACAACCAACGGGCCTTTGGTCTAACGGTACTCCTTACGTTGTGAAGGCTTTACCTTCTTAAGGTCAAGGGTTTAAGTCCCCCCTCCCTTTTTCCCTTCCCCCCTCCCAAAAAAAAAAAAATTATCTTTGCTTCTTTAGATAAAATATTTCCATGCTTTCTTTGTGTCACCATAACTTGCTGAATCCATGTATGATGGCTTACACATTTCCAATTGTCAGGGCTGTCCTAGCATGGCTTTCAATAATTGCATATAGAAACAAGGACAAGAAACCAGGGGAGAAATTGGTTTCTGTATCTGATGTTGTAAAGGAGTATTGGGCCACCTACGGAAGGAACTTCTTTTCTAGATATGATTACGAGGTAAGCTGTATTTTGTGATGAATTCTCACCTATTTTTACTCAAATTTTGCTGTTACATCTTGTAAATCACTGCAAACTGGGCTAGTTGCTGTGCCTTTTAAGGTTAATATCCTGATATTAATTTGTATTTCAGGAATGTGAATCTGAAGGAGCTAATAAAATGATAGAGTATCTAAGAGATTTGGTTTCAAAGAGCAAGGCAGGTGACAAGCATGGTAAGTTTGATGTCATACTTTCTCCAGATTAATCAATATACTACAATCCTTTCTAATATTTTTAGATGCTATACATTTGGCATCGTAGGAAATTATGCCCTTCAATTTGCCGATGACTTCACCTATACTGATCCTGTGAGTTGTTGCTCTTTTCACAATCTCACATTTTTGTTGGCATGTTTTCCTGATAAAGACACAAGCTTGAGCAATCGCTATCTGGTTTGGATGACTCGAATCTGATACATGTTCTCAGGTGGATGGAAGTGTGGCATCAAAACAAGGTGTCCGGTTTGTTTTCACTGATGGATCAAGGATCATATTTCGTTTATCGGTCTGCATCAACCTATTTTGTTTCTCCTCTTTTTCATTTTTCATGTGTTTTTATTTTTTATGGGTGCATTTAAAAAAGTATCTGGAATAAGTGAGTTCTACATTTTACAGGGAACTGGTTCGGCAGGTGCGACCGTCAGAATGTACATTGAACAGTTTGAGCCTGATGTCTCAAAACATGAAATGGATGCCCAAACTGCACTAAAACCATTGATAGGTTAGTCCATATTTATTTTCAGTAGCTTACAACAAATTTTCATTGTTTGTAAAATTATCATTTCATGTTCTTAGATCTGGCGCTGTCTGTTTCAAAGCTGAAAGACTTCACAGGAAGGGAGAAACCTACGGTCATCACATAGATTTTCTATATATTACTCACGGCAAGGAGGCTTCAGCAATAGTAAAGTTGTAGCAGGTTGAGTATTTCGTCTTTGCTATTGAATGTTTATTGTAGTATTCTTTCCATTTTGGTTCCGATTGTAGATTAGCGATCTTGCTCTGAGGANGGCCTAAAACTACCGGTAGGTTTTTACTTGTTTGCAAAAAAACCTATGTGCTCCCATTCTCACTTCCACTCCAATCTACATCAACCCCTACACATGAAGTATGACCTCTACTCTACCAAAAACATGAAGTACTCTTATGACTTGTAAGAAATCAAATAAACATGACCGAAGTGCGTAAAGTCACCTATAAAAGTGATAAAATAGGACGCACCATGTCTTGTCTTCACATTCATTGGGCCCCATATATCTGAGTGTATTAATTGCAATGGAATAGATGCTCTTTTGGCCTTACCAAATGGTTTTCTAGTTGCCATCACTGCGAGACAATTTTCACTTGCCGTAACCTATTCATTCTGTCTTGCCCAATATGACCTAATCTAGCATGCCATCTAATAGAATCAACACTATCTATAGATGTAACATAAGAATAAATTTCATTGCTAGAATGATCAATATCTAATACAATAAAACTATCTGTGATATAACTAGATCCATAGAATGTAGTTCCTCTATAAATGCCAACATGCTGGCATTCAAAAGGAAAAATAAAACCTAGTCTCATTAAGCTAGTAACTGACAACAAATTTCGTTGGATTCTTGGAGCATATAATACATCATGAAGGTATAAAGTGCGNGGCATGCCTGCACTCCCTGCCCCTTTGTCAGCCTCTCTCCTTTTCTTCCATGCTTTTTCTTCCAAGTCAGACCTTTGTGTAAGAAATGGTATGGTTGTATGTGGAACATGTCAGGGTAGGTGTGGGAGAAGTGTAGGTGGGCCCCCCAAGCAGTTGGAGTTGAGTTGCAAAAATCAGGCATTTTTTCAGTAAAACCTACCAGTAGTTCGATGCCTACCAGTAGATTTTACTCTAATAGCCAAAACCTTCCAGAAGATTTTTAGTATATCCAACTCCAGTACACAAAACCTACCGGTAGTTTTATAAGCAAACCTGTGAGGGGAGGTCACTGTGGTACTTGGGTACTGCTCTCATATGGTGCTTTGGCTTATATGGGAGTGGGGAGACGACTCTTTCCCCGATGTGGGATAGAGGTAAAGGCTACTGTGGGGGTTTGACCCACAGGTTAGCCGAAATCCTTTGGTGGAGAGCGGGATATCCCCGGTAATGGGGAGGAAATGCTCTTGGAGGGAGGTATATCCCCGATAATGGGGAGGTAGATCCCTCACAAAACCTACTGGTAGTGTTTTACTTGTTGTAGCTCAAATCTTGCTATTTTCACCTACCAAGGCATAATCAAACCTCCCCTTCATCTCCATTGACTTTGAGCACTGTGATGGGGGCTTAACTCACATCATTTCCAACTCTTTGCCTGCAAACACACCGAAACCTCATTAATTGATAGAAATATTGCAATTCCTCCATTTTCACCAAAAAATTAAGTATAAAAAAGGGTGCAATGTATACATGATATGCAATATTTTGTGTTAATCACAAGGTCAACCCCTGGATCGACCCTTCCAAAGCATCTAAGCTCTAGGACACAGTACGGATCGGGGTAGAGGTGGAAAGCCCAGAAGTAGATGGCCTAGCAGATGATGGATCAGGTCTCTAGCCTCTAGCTCTCTCACCCCTACTCATTGTTTTTCATTTATTACTACTTGTTTTCCTAATAGCTCCAAATTCAGAGGGTGTTAGTACATCAGAGACATAGCTTTAACTTTACTGGAGTAGCACTTTCTGGTAACTAGATTGGTGAATGGGAGATTTGCCTTCGACTTTCTATCCTGAGCAAACTCCTTCATAAACTCCCATATCAATAAGGCTACTTCCATAGCCTTCCCAGTCATAAATGTGTGAAGGTGGGTGAGCTTCTCCACCTTCGGGTTCTTCTTTGCACCCTAGGGGATCAAATTGTAATGTTAGAGCTTATTTATAATCTGGTATGAGTGTTTGAGGCCCTCGACTTGAATTATACCTTTGAATTGGGTCAGATACTCATAGCGCAACTCCACATACTCAGGGACTGTATTTACCCCTTGGATTTGTGTGGTTACACCGAGGTAGTGGTTCATCAATCTAGCAATCAAATTTGGGGTCTCAACAAAAACATTACCCCTCACATTTGTCCAGAGAATAAAACCGTCCTCATCCACCACATGCAATCTCTTATAAAATTCTCTACACATGGCCAGGTTATACCAGCTAATCGGCTCAAACCAAATCCCAAGGTCATCTCCCTCTATCACTCTCACCACCTTGTGAGTTGGCCCGAAGGTTATCACGTCCACAAAATGCTCACACGTGACATTTTTCTCATCAATTCTTTGGTTATGAGAATCATTTCTTGCCTTCTTTCTCCTCTCTCCCCTATCTCCGCTAGAGCCCTCAACTGCCCTCTTGCTGGAACTAGTGCCCGCATGTATTGTAGGACCTGGCCCAGTGCGTTTCGTGCAGGCTATGAGTAGCAACAATGCCCCAACCGCCACAAAAGACAACAAACACATCAAGAGCCTCTCAATAGGATCAAAAGCATCAAGAGAGATCTTCCCTAAGTGAGCCATTGCGATGGAATCAAAACTTTCATAGAGAAAATGAGAGAAATGGAATTTGGGAAAAAAAAAAGCTAGGATTTAGTGAGAAAATCCGCAAATTTCGGTCTAATTCCAAGTAATAATCAACCCTAGGTAATAGAAATGGAAGATTTGATATTTGGGTGAGTGTTCTTTGAAGCCTTGAGAAGATTTGAGGGAGAGAGAGAAGTGTCTGGGAGTTTGAAGATTTTTGAAGGAAATGAACAACCAACGGGCCTTTGGTCTAACGGTACTCCTTACGTTGTGAAGGCTTTACCTTCTTAAGGTCAAGGGTTTAAGTCCCCCCTCCCTTTTTCCCTTCCCCCCTCCCAAAAAAAAAAAAATTATCTTTGCTTCTTTAGATAAAATATTTCCATGCTTTCTTTGTGTCACCATAACTTGCTGAATCCATGTATGATGGCTTACACATTTCCAATTGTCAGGGCTGTCCTAGCATGGCTTTCAATAATTGCATATAGAAACAAGGACAAGAAACCAGGGGAGAAATTGGTTTCTGTATCTGATGTTGTAAAGGAGTATTGGGCCACCTACGGAAGGAACTTCTTTTCTAGATATGATTACGAGGTAAGCTGTATTTTGTGATGAATTCTCACCTATTTTTACTCAAATTTTGCTGTTACATCTTGTAAATCACTGCAAACTGGGCTAGTTGCTGTGCCTTTTAAGGTTAATATCCTGATATTAATTTGTATTTCAGGAATGTGAATCTGAAGGAGCTAATAAAATGATAGAGTATCTAAGAGATTTGGTTTCAAAGAGCAAGGCAGGTGACAAGCATGGTAAGTTTGATGTCATACTTTCTCCAGATTAATCAATATACTACAATCCTTTCTAATATTTTTAGATGCTATACATTTGGCATCGTAGGAAATTATGCCCTTCAATTTGCCGATGACTTCACCTATACTGATCCTGTGAGTTGTTGCTCTTTTCACAATCTCACATTTTTGTTGGCATGTTTTCCTGATAAAGACACAAGCTTGAGCAATCGCTATCTGGTTTGGATGACTCGAATCTGATACATGTTCTCAGGTGGATGGAAGTGTGGCATCAAAACAAGGTGTCCGGTTTGTTTTCACTGATGGATCAAGGATCATATTTCGTTTATCGGTCTGCATCAACCTATTTTGTTTCTCCTCTTTTTCATTTTTCATGTGTTTTTATTTTTTATGGGTGCATTTAAAAAAGTATCTGGAATAAGTGAGTTCTACATTTTACAGGGAACTGGTTCGGCAGGTGCGACCGTCAGAATGTACATTGAACAGTTTGAGCCTGATGTCTCAAAACATGAAATGGATGCCCAAACTGCACTAAAACCATTGATAGGTTAGTCCATATTTATTTTCAGTAGCTTACAACAAATTTTCATTGTTTGTAAAATTATCATTTCATGTTCTTAGATCTGGCGCTGTCTGTTTCAAAGCTGAAAGACTTCACAGGAAGGGAGAAACCTACGGTCATCACATAGATTTTCTATATATTACTCACGGCAAGGAGGCTTCAGCAATAGTAAAGTTGTAGCAGGTTGAGTATTTCGTCTTTGCTATTGAATGTTTATTGTAGTATTCTTTCCATTTTGGTTCCGATTGTAGATTAGCGATCTTGCTCTGAGGAACAATAATTAACACAATGTGTAATATGGATAACTTGTCTATGGAAAATAAATTATCCATCTTTTAATGATAATAATCTAATGCTGCTTCTATTATTGGTTCTGGATCCAAAACATGAACGTACNGAATGTAGTTCCTCTATAAATGCCAACATGCTGGCATTCAAAAGGAAAAATAAAACCTAGTCTCATTAAGCTAGTAACTGACAACAAATTTCGTTGGATTCTTGGAGCATATAATACATCATGAAGGTATAAAGTGCGCCCGTGTCACAGTTCCAGTTTGTATGTGTCAATCCCAAGGACATCTATACTGGTTTCGTTCCCCATGTAAATTCGTTTGCTTCCAGTCGGAACTCGACAGTACTCCACAAATCCGAATATGTGTCTCGTTATGTGGTATGTTGCTCCTGAGTCTACAATCCATGAATTAGGAGAGTGAGCAACAAAAACTTGACTAGTAACTAAACAGTTAATGTGAGAGATACTAGAAAATACCTTTTTCGGCTCAGTGCATTAATGAGTGAAATGACCTTTCATGTTGCAGTTATAGTAAACTATGTTGGCTTTATTCTTCTTACTAGCTCTTTTACCCCGCTTGTGCTTGTTATAATTAGAACGACCAACCCCAGTTTGAGCATCAGACCTATTTCCACCGTGCTTATGCTTGGACCCGAAGGTCTTGCGCTAGCC